CGGTTTGAGGCAATCGGCCACAGGAAGTTTTGAATCCAGATTTCATGCTAGTTGGTACTCACCAGTTAGCAAAAAGAGTGTCTGTAACTTTGAAGGAACTCATATCCCGCTTCCGAGATTTAAAATCGAGGCAACCAATTCTGCCTTCAGTCACAGACGCTACTACCACTGAGCTGTTTTCGCTCGAGACGATTGGTCTGCTGTAGGACTGTCATGGATACTCTGATTGAACTCTAGTAACTAGTCTGGTTTGCATGAAACAAAGGAGACTAGACACATTACACACTAGTTACTAACTGGGGTCCAATCAAAGTTCTCTTTATTTTCCAGGTATTTGAAGGAGAAATAAACCTCAATGATGTAGGCATCCAGAAAGTAGTGATTGACGTCATACATACTCCCTTACGCATATAATCAAATAGTCCAGTTATAATTTCTAATTTTCAATAGTATAATCCTCATCCAACACTGAAATTGTGTGTAAACGCATGGCTTAATTGGGGGTGTGAGTGGGGAAGAACATCCAGCAGAGATGTCATAGTGAAAACAAAAAACATTAATTTCAGTGATTTATTAGATGGAATAGTATGTGTAACATCCGTTAAGAGTTATATAATTGATGAGCCAAACACATGATACCTCTTTTCCTCCAAGTTACTTATGACGTCATAATGTGTCATTGAACTTTAATGGTAAAATGTCATCTTCCTCAATATTGGAGGAATGAATACATTTGAAATTCAGAAATTATATGCATATTTTTATGTAGTATAGCACAGTATTTCGGAACGAATTACTCATCAGTAATCGCAGAGAATGTTAAATCTTCCTTTGTATTTCACACAGGTCGATCAATTCACTTAACCTGACTACATATATGACAGTAGCACGATGTAACCGTATGAAATATTATCCAGGCTCCAATCCCCTCTAAAGTTAGCTAAGGTTAGAATGATTGATCCCGAGAGGAGAAGTAATTTAGAGAAAGAAATAACTCAGCGATTGTACTTCATGTATTAACACACAACCGCATAATAGGGTGAGTTGGACAGAGTCAAAATTTTAAAAAGTAATATAGGTAGGTGAAGAGGAAAAGAGGTTGATTACTGAATCCTGACTGGTTCATCGAGTAAAAAAGTTGTTTGAGTGACCTGATATGATCATGCGTGGCAATAGTTTGTGCTTGAAACTTTGTCGCATCAGTTAATATTACTGTATAACACTCCACTGTGTGATTTATCAAAGTAAAACCCCTTTTCTTTCAATTATCTTGGAAAGACGTTTCAAACCTCAGGCGACAGCACGGATGATGATTATATCATAGCCCACCAGAATCGGGAATGTAAGGCTGACCTACATCAACGTGAAATCATTTTGAAAATCTGCCGCACTACTCAGAATTAAAAAGTGGAAGAAAGGTATTTTCAACGCCAATGTCAGGTCAGTTGATTCTTCTCTATGGGCCAGGCAGTTGACCAGCGCTTCATAAAAAGGATTTTTCCCAAAGGACTACAGTAGAGATTTACCAATAGCTGCCTTCACTTCGCCCTGGAGACTGGATGGCAGGCTAGAAACAATTATCAACAAGAAACTATAGGATTGAAACAGCCAAGAACTTATTGCTCAGCTGATATTGTGGAGAAGATGGAGAATGGACCGGGAATACGCTGAGTAGGCCTTCGAATGAGACATCATATCAGGCACAACCTTAAGTAGAACTCGAATAGGAAACGACGAGGTGGGTGGGTGTATCTGGAGACTGACATGTATGAGGCAGAGAGAGAGAGAGAAGGAGGTCATCGACTAAAAACAACTGTGCGATCATCTAAAGAGTATCATTGAGAATTGAACAAAGTGGGAACGTCCTGCTGAAGGCCTTTATTCCACCCTGAACCCTAGGAAACAGTTGAAATAATAATAATTTACTGTGATTGGAAACTGGGCAGCAAATGGTTTCATGCGTCTAGTCATTTGGGTGGTGCAGACTGAATTCTATCGGCCAAATCTGAGATGTAGTCACCATGCTGAGTGGCTCACTATCACTATGCACAATGAATTTATGTAAAATGACTGGGGGGTCCACCGCAAGATCAAGTAGCCCAATGGTAACATTTATGATTGAAGCATTGTGTAATGCTTGTTCGAATCTCGGATAGGACATGATTTAGTGTGTGATTGTTGATGCGTCTTGGCGGCTGTTGAGTGCAAATTATCACTAAACATTGGTTGACAGCTTCCCGTAGACCACCTCCAATAAACTACCATATTCGAATTCTTTTTGTAATTATTTTCATCTGAAAATTTGAATTACCTGAGAAGATGAAAACAACTTTTTATGTAGACACATATATTTTATTATTATTATTGCTCCCTTGGGTTCCTAGTGGAACATAGGGCTTCAACTGCACATCTCCATTTGCTTCTGTCCTCTGCTGTACTTTTCGCCTGCATCCATGTTAATCCATATTCCTTCAACTCCTCTAAACACGATCTCCTCCATGTCACCCTTGCACGTCCCACACGCCGCTTCCCTTTCGGGTTCCACTCGAGGGCTTGGCGTGCGATGTCACCCAGCGGTCTCCTCAGCGAGTGTCCGATCCATCTCCACTTTCTCCTGCATATTTGTTGGGCGATTGGTTCTTACTTTGTTTGTTCCCATAATTCCTTGTTGGTGATTGTTTCCGGCCATCTGATCTTCAGTATTGAACGGAGACAGTTGTTAATAAAGGTCTGCAACAGGCTGTTGGAAATATTCTGTAGCGATTTGGTTGTTTTACAGGGGTGGGGTTGCTAGCACCACGCCCCAACCCTCCCTCTTACCCGGGCTTGGGACCGGAGAGAAAACTAGTAAGCTAGTAGCCTGGCAAGCTAGTATCTGGCGAGGTTAGACACATATATATTACTGTTCAAAAGTTTGGGGCTGTCGGCTTTACTGTTTGTCATTTCAGATGACTCCTTGATTTGTGTCATGCATGCTGAGTTAATCAGTTAGACTGTGTAACTGATTTTCATTCCCATACCGGTTCATAAGATTAATAATGCGTTCTTCCAACTGTGCGTCGGTGGCACAGTGGTTAGGACTCTCGCCGACCATGCACATGATCTCGGGTTCGAGCCCACGCCGACGCACACTTGATATCTATGGTCGGCCTGCGAATTTCGGGCTACCGATATCCTTGCTGAAAATTCCATATTTGTACCAAAAATACAGTGTGGAATCAAGCTGTAATCAAAAATAAAATAAATAAAAATATAATTCATTCAAATAAGCGCTGAACATGTCCTCTAGGAAGACAGTGAATGTTCTGCAATCAAAACAACAAGATTAGAGAACAGAGGGACACTGAAATAAACGATGTCAGCTGTGAAAACTCCTAACCATTTCATTATATATGTATATATCATTCATTTAATGTGTTCAGTATTAGTTCTTCAAATCTGGATTCATTTCCCACATCAAATTTGAGATGAATTTGAGCGCACCAATTTATGTTGCTGAGCTGATTACTCTTTATGAGTATTATTATTATTCTCTTGGGTTCCAAGTAAAACTAAGGATTACAACAGCACACCTCTACTTCACCGTGCTCTTTACAGTCTTATTTACCTAAATCTACGGTTCCAGGTGGGGTTTCAGCCGATGCTTCCTGTCACTCAGCGATCTTCCCAGCCCGATCTCTATCCGCAGACATTTCGTTTGTCATATTTCTTAGGTGACATGCTCTGCGTTGAGTCGTTCTCAGAGTCCCAGGTTGTTAATCCTTTCTAGTCGGCCATTTGATCTTCAGTAGGGTACAAGGGAAGGCAGATGTTGATGAGAGTCTGAAGCTTTTATGAAAGGCTTTTAATGACACGCAAAGTCTCTTAACCATATAGGCTGACTGACTGACTATATTAACATTGGTATTGAAAATCCGAATTTTGTTTTTTATACTTATTCTGGTAGATTTCAAAATTGATTTTAGATCAATGAATGTGTTTGTCTTGCTTTTCTGATTCTTAATTCTTTCTGATTCATAAATACGAAAGCCTATAGTTGAAATGATGCCGTCTATATAAGTGAAAGCGGTGTTTATTGCTTCTTGTTGTTATCGATCAGGTAACTTCGACAACTTGATTATGCATAGAAATGGTAGTATAAATTTGGCAACAAATCAACCAGTTTCGTGCATCTAACCTTCCAACATTTACCAACATTTGCTGGAGGCCAAATGGCCAGCCAGCCAGCCTGCCAGAAATAATTAGCAACAAGAAACCCTGGCTAGGAATAAATCCAAAAGCCGAGAGCCGATTGCTCAACAAATATGTGGAAAAAAAATGGAGAAGGATGAACGGGGGCATACTTTGAAGAGGCTGTCGAATGACATCGCACTAAATGCAGGCTATAACTGTGGTGAGAGCTGTCTGCTAGCCGAAATTGGTAGACAGCAATTTATGTCAATGTTTACATCCCAAATAACAAAAACACATAGACTAACTCAACAACCAATCACAGAAGACTTTGTGTGGGCGGATACAATTCGCAGAGAGATGATCTGACCTTCATAGAAACGGTCACAAAGAGATGAATGAATAACTTTCTGCGAAAAAACAACCAATCAGAAGACTCTGTTTCTCTGCTAATAATAACGAATAATAATGTACATAAAAATCTATAAATATCTGTTGATTTTCTCAATAAACGATCTGTTGCATGGCCCTTGTATTCTATCGTTACATAGCTTGAGTGGAATCTGAATGGAAAGCGACAACTGGGTCGTCAGTGCAAGAATGACATGGTGAAGCCAATGTGTTTGAAAGGCGGGCAAGAGATGAGAGATGATGGGGACAGCACCAAACAGAATAAAGTGGAGACAGAGTATTGTTGAAGCTGTATGTTCCACTCAGAACCGAAGTGTATAACAACAATGATAATAAATTTGGACACATTGTTTTAATTCTCTGTAATAATCTATTTAAAACAAAAATCATATGAAATCAAAGTTTTTTGTCTAACTTACGATAAATATAATCTCCAGTGTAATATAAGAAATTACACATTAGTACATAATAGACAATTAATGCACCGAATAATGCTAACATTGAAAAGATTATAGCTGTTATATAACCAATTTTGCCCAAATGATAAAAACACGCATCAGGAAATTCCATATAGACAGATGAACGAAGATTCTGTATGACTAAAAAAACAAATAAATAAATAAATAAATAAATGAGAAAGCGTAAGTTATTCGCTTTTATGGATTCGATTTTTTGTAAATCTCTATCTGGAGCTCACATCAAGTTAGAAAACCAACGGTAACCAGGGAGCAGTAGACAGTTAATTGTTTCATTCCTTGGTTTGGGAACTTTCGACAGTAAATAAGGTGAGAATCCACAATCTTCCCGGCCCCCCACAGAATGCTTACAGATCATTATTCATCTGCGGGAGACCCAGTGAAACATCCCATGACTTCTAACCTCTGCCAAACTAGTCGACGATGAGGATAGTTACTTATCGAAGACACTGGTTTCAATCCCAGTGGCTTAATGGTCTACGCGCTAGATCCCATTTTAACTAGAAGGTCCTGTGTTAAAACCCTGGCTTAGCGGTGGGTGAGTACTGGCCAAGAGTTGCAAAATAGCTCGACGAAACAGCTGGTTTTCCAATGATTCTCGAGCTGGACGTCAGCTTATGATGAAATACTCCAACCAATATAACTCGTATTTATTGAATTAGATTTGTAAAAATCGATAAAAGACAAGAGAACAGTTATAAAATTATTATGCTTCTCGTTACTTTTAAGCAGACTTCATGAATTTTATGACGAATATACAATGAAATGTCAAACCACCGATGAGTTAAGATGCTACGAACCAGCTGCAGGAGACGATCAGTGAAATTGTTCTAAATAATGAGCAGTAACAAATTCATTTCTGTTACAACTTGAACTACTATCTAGCAGATTATGAACGAAAACTAATTTAATGCCCTGGCTAATCTGTCCTAATCGCACGTCATCTCCATAACAGCAGCAATAACACCACCGGCACGCAAACACAAAATAGAAAGACCAGACGTCGATAAGAGAGCTTTTACTGTCTCTAACATCAGTCAAAGTGCTAGACAGAAACTCTGTATACATAAAATTAGAATGACCTTGAAAATTCAGTACTTCAATTTTGCATTAAAAGTATTAACAGCCAATGGCAGAAGTCCAGCAATCTGAGCAAAGAAAACTCTGAAGAGTTCATCTCAGTGCTTGATAACTCCTTAAAATAGTTATTTTAAAAATTTAGGCAAAATTAGGCAAAACCAGGTGTATAAAACAAATTCCGCATTAATTTATTTATTAGATATATCACAAACATTGAAAAAGTACTCTTAATTGGACACTATTCAATAACTAGTGTAATGTGTCTAGTCCTTTGTTTGTTTGGTGTAGACTAAATTATGTCACGGAGGATTTCATGATGAGCTGACATCAGTTAGAGAACTACTGGAAAACCTGGGAGTATTGGATAGCTGTTTCGTCCTAGTTTGGGACTCTTCAGCAATTTTACAATGTGGCCACCATGCCACTAGGTGGCTAGCCACCACAGTGCACTCTGGATTGGTAATAATAAATGGTTGGAGGCAGCTGGCACAAGGAAGCCTTGGACCTAGATTTTGAGCTAGTTGCCACTCACCGACGTCTCTGACAACAGTTATTTGCATCCTATCTTCCGTGTTAAGTGGTATGGAAACATTCGAAAACGCAAGACTTGGTAAAGGAATGTGTATTTGGAAATCGGTATTTCTCTACAGACAAACTATGTACACCTTATCTTCAACGCATCATTTGCACAGATTTTGTGTGTTGTGTTACTTCTGTATCTCTACAACGCTGTATCGTTTGTCTTCACTGACATCAAAAATATCTCCTTACAGCAGGTCGTGTGTGAGGACAAGTAGTCGCCGTAGACACTGACTAGCGATCACGCTATGTCGTGAATTGGCAGAAGTTAGAATTCATGGGCCATTGGATTGGGTCCCAGTGGCTTAATGGTCTACGAACTCGCCTAGTAACCAGAAGACCTAGGTTCGAACCCTAATGGGGTGGGTGCGTACTGATGAAGAGTCCCTAACTAGAACAAGACAGCTGTCCAGTACTCCCCATAGGTTTTCCAATGGTTCTCTAACCAATGTCAGGTCACGATGAAATACTGTAATTAATATCTCCTTGTTGTCTGATGCTTTTATGCCGATGAACTTCTCTTTATATACTGCGCCACAGTATAAAATAGCGGTAATACTGAAGTAAGTAGTGCAGTGTTAGGCATCGAGGGTAAATAAATCGATGAAGTTGTCAAACTACATTGACTAGGATACCTAAAATATGTTTCGCGAGGGGCAAACCATCTCTTTTCTCGACTGGCATCAGATCATGTTGAAAAAGAAATGGAGATGACCATATAAAAGTCTCGTCAACAGTTCACTGTTCGTTCAAGCCAATCACGAAAAGAGATGTAGACCACCTGGTGGAAGTCTTCAGCATACTTAGAACTAACGGTTTAAAAATTATTTATGATATGGCACAGATGCACCTAATCCTTTTAATCTCCTAGATTTATAAAGTCCTTATGTTTCTCTATGTTAATAATCTTTTCCCCTCAGTTATCTGCTTTTTATAATCCTTTTGGAAGCTTTTTTCTGCCTGTGTATGTACAGCATCTTGGATTGCCATGCTTCTGAGGAAATTCCCACGTTGATACTCGGTCAGCCAGTTTATTCAGTATCACCAAGCTAACTCCCTTCTTTGGTCTTCTTTCGCCAATCTTAAATTCACTGAATTAACAGGAGAGAAGCATACTAAGTATCGAGAATATACCACACCTTTAACTATGTCGGTCAACTCAAAGTAACATTCAACTGTCATTAATCAACATCAGAAGTTCATTGGTGGATGGTGACTAGCAGTGGAGTCCAGAATGAAGCATATTTCGTCCTGTTTGGAACTCGTCCGCCAGCTAGATGTATCTGCATTCCACAGTGAGTGATGATGAGTTAGGCTTTGAGCCTCGGTGGGAGCATTATCACTCACTGCGGAATGTAGGTACGTCCAGCTGGCGGACAAGTCTCAAATAGGACGAAATGTCTATCCTGGGTTCCACTGTTAGTCACTATCCACTAATCAGCTTCTAATTAAATGCCCAGACATCGTCAAACCATCTGCACAAGGAGGAGCCGAAATGTCAGACTAAGACCAAGCACTTCAATCGAATCAATCGATATCAGTTAAAAAGAATAATGAAAATCACAGAGAACTACTGGATACCCGCTGCTTCCGCTTTGTTTAATGCTCCACGGCGGTGCGCATCTATGACCCTCTTATGATTTGAACCACCTGGGACCTTCATGTGAAGAGGCTAAACTAAAAACCTGGAATTAATCCTAAAATCCATCTGATCGATTAAATTCCGACAATTTAATGTTCCGTTTACCCACATATTACCCTTATTTTTCATTTCTAACACAGATCAATATGTATGTACGTATGTATATGCGTTGACGAAAGTAGTCCAATCATCCATCTACATTATTTCTTTGTTTTCATCCGAGAAAAATCGTTTAATCTGTAGACTGTAAAGGGCACAGCTACTTTAGTTATGTAGAATTGCATCTTATGAAAACATTACACATATTTGAAAAAAATCAATAGTTTGTTTGTTTCTTTTTTTACATTCCCTGTACGAAATCCCGGTTATTGACCATCAAAGGAAAAGAATGCGTTGGGGGGTAAAATAATCAACCGTATTCGCTTCAGAATACAGTTGCCAGTAAATAATTACACTCATTTTCAAGCATTAGTTAGTAGGGATTCGATTTGTTTCCGGTTATACCAAGAATTGATATCTGTTAAAGGCAATACTAGACAAACGTTTCGTCCTTGTCTAGGAATCATCGGCAGTACGAACCCAATGACTTCCGGGTAAAAAGCAAGCAGCAACCAATGTCATCGGCGGGAACTCCATCCTCTGTCCTGACTGGTTGGCCCTCTATTGGTCACGACTTCTTAGTAGAAATCCAGACACCTTCTTCCTGTAGCCAGTGAGACCAGTAAGCACTAGAATGGTATACGCGCTCGCCTTGTAACCAGAAGGTTCTGGGTATGAAACCCAGCTGGGTTAGTACTTCCGATAATTCCTAAACTAGGATGAAACAGCAGCTGTCCAGTAATCTCCCCACTTCAATGGTCCTCTAACTGATATCAATCTCTAATCAATCTTGAAGCATTTATTTTCGTTCCCTGTCATTCACGGATTATGCAATCTAAACAATAAGGTTGAGTATAAGATGGTTGGAGGTAATCGGCCCAAGGGAGCTTTGGAACTAGGTTCGTGGCTAGTTGGCACTCACCAGTCTGCAAGGCGTATCTGCAACCTTGAAGGAAGATACGCTCTGCAGACTGGTGAGTGCCAACTAGCCACGAAACCTAGATCCAAGACTTCTTTGGGCCAATTACCTCCAACCATCAAATATCATCAAATCAATGTGCACAATGATGACGAGCCACCCTAGAATGCTGGCACTATTGCAAACCCGATCGATAGAATTCAGTCTGCACCAAAGAAAGGACTAGACACATTACACTACTTAAAATAGTGTTCTATCAAACCATAGACAAAATCTACCAACTAATAAAAAGTTTAATCACATGCAGCGAGAAAGTTAAAAATCCAAATCAATAAAAAAGGATCAATACAGGTTTAAATCGACTACCAGGCAGTCAAAGAAGACGGTTGTGTTGCCAGGAGACGCAGTTCTATCATTAATGGAAAATTTAAATCAGTTCATTTTATATGCTAAAATTTGCGCTGAACGGAGATGTTGTCCAGCAGAAAGAGCGACAACGAGAGCTTCACAGTTAAGCCATCAACCAGCTCAGAGAACACAATTAATTGCAAAACTCTTATAATATTTCGCTAGCTTCATACATATAATTATGCTGGGTTAATTGACTGATCTTCGCCACTGTGTTCATTCTCCGTGAAATACCGTGAGAGATTTATTAATAATAATTACAGATTGCTGACCATTGGTTTGTTTCAAAACCCTTTACTATATGACATGAAAGTGAATTGTCTCAATTCTAACTGTATTCACTCCTCTTATAATAAGAAGCGTGGCGTTCGCGTTTAGACTTCAAACATTTTGTGA